CCTTCCTTCCCACTCTCCCTTCCTTCCCTCCCTCTCTCCCTCCTTCCCTCCCTCCCGCCATTCCTTCCCTCCCTCCCTCCCCTCCCTCCCTCACTTCCTACCCTCCCTCCCTTCCTTTTCTTTTTCCTCTTCATTCTCCTTTCTTCTCCCTTCCCCTCCTTCCTTATTTTTCCTTCCTTGCTCTCTTCCCATCTTTTCTTCTTTCTCTTTCCTCTTTCCCTTTCTCCTTTCCTGTCCGTTCTTGCATGCTCCAATGCAAAGGGGGAAACATTTCTCCTTCTGTTTTCTTTTTAGTTTGTTTTGCTAGCCCTCTGACAGTGAAAATGGAGCCCCCTCCCTACGAGCTCAGTTTTCTCTGGCAGAGGCCCCATGGGCCAGTCCTTCACCCTTTCCAGATCTAAACATCCGGCCCATGGGTCTTGAGTTTGACACTCCTGTTCTGGAATCTCAGCGTTCTTTTTTATATCGCAAAACTGGATGCAATATTCCAGGTCTGTTTTTTTTTTGTCAAGGCATTATAAAGCCACACAGGTAGCCCTCGACTTATGACCACAATTGACCACCAACATGTCTGTGGTTGAGACATTTGTTAAGTGAGTTTTGCCCCATTTTACTACCTTTCTTGCCTCCGTTGTTAAGTGAATCGCTGCAGTTGATAAGTTAGTAGCAATAGCCCTTAGACTTATATACCGCTTCACAGTGCTTTCCAGCCCTCTAAGTGATTTACAGAGTCAGCTTCTTGCCCCCAACAATGTGGGCCCTCATTTTACCCACCTTGGAAGGATGGAAGGCTAAATCAACTATGAGCCAGTGAGAATCAAACTGACAAATTGCAGGCAGCCGGCAGTCAGCAGAAGTAGCCTGCAGTACTGCACTCTAACCACTTTGCCACCACGGCTCTGGTTTTATTTCCTGGAGCTTGTTGTTAAGTGAATCAGGCTTCCGCAGTTGACTTTGCTTGTCAGAAGGTCGCAAAAGCGGATCGTATGACCCCTGGAACACTGCAACCATCATAAATAGGAACCAGTGGCCAAGCGCCTGAATTTTGATCACATAACTATAGGGATATACTTAACAACTGTGTTAAAAACTTAACCAGTGAAGTGATTCACTTCACAACTGTGTGAAGAAAGGTTGTGAAATGGGGTAAAACTCACTTAACTATCTCGCTTAGCAACAGAAATTGCTCTATTGTGATTGTAAGTTGAGGTCCACCTGTACTATTCCATATAGTTTCTCCCCAATTATTTGTATAAGGACCATTTTCTGTATTATTTATGTTGTATTTTTGTTATGGATAGCACCAGCAGGAGCAAAATCAATTTCGTTGTATATATATATATATATGTACTGTACAATGTGTCATGCCCCTGTTGGAGACTGACTCCGAAGGAGTGGAGGAACAGCCGACAGGGAGTGGAAGGGTGGCTCCGGAGGTTGTGGAGGAGGCTGCTGGCTGGGCAGTCAGAGGAAGACCTAAGCCCATCCCCTCTCCATCCTAGGGCACGTAGGGAGGAGAGGATAAGGGAGAGACATAAATGGCGTGGTCTACGGGGGAGGAAAGGGCCTTGATCCTCTTCATGGGCTGTAGCTGTGAGAACTGGTTAAAAGGATGGACGTGCCTATGGGCCATGGGCCATGCGTATGGAAACAAAGTGTGGAAATATCTCTAGTCTGTCGTTTTGGCGTCCTTCCCAGTGTATGTTCTGATATCTGTGGATGTCTTCAAGCCCTTATCTTGCCTGGTTCCCTTAATTGCTTCAGTGTGGTTTGTGTTGTTTCTACTCTTTATAATTTATAGGCATTTTTTGTTTAAACTGCATTTTCTCCTTTTCGTAACTGCTTGTGTGGGAGTTTTTTGTCTCCAGTCAAGGATACTTGGAGCTCTGAAGCAAAGTGAAGGAATAAAAGGGGCTTCACCTGTTTTTGTGACTGTGTTTATTTTGTATCCCACCCTGGGTCATCACACAATGACCATAAAGGTTGTTGTTGTTATTATTAAGACAAATTAAATCATTCCTTGCCTTGAATCTTTGAAATGTGACAAACCCTATTGAAGTTCTTCACTGTAAGACTTCTGGAGTTGAAGTCCACAAGTCTTAAAGTCGCCATCACTTGAGACTTTCATGAAGAGATTGGACTGCCATTTGTCAGAAATGGTGTAGTGTCTCCCGCTTGGGTGGGAGTTTGGACTAGATGACCTACAAGGTCCCTTCCAACTCTGATTATCTGTTATTACAACTCCTAGAATTTCCCAGCCAGCTGAGGACTTCTGGGAGTTGAAGTCCACAAGTCTTAAAATTGCCAAATTTGTAGACCCCTGATCTCTAGGTAGGACAGTGTTCCTCCACCGTGGCAACTTGAAGATTGGTGGACTTCAACTCCCAGCATTCCCCAGCCAGCTCTGCCTAATTCTGGGAATTGAAGTCCACACATCTTCAAGCTGCCAAGGTTGAGAAGCCCTACTCTAGAGCATAAGATTCCCTGTGGCAATGATTAGTTGAGCTGCCATGATGTCGCAGAGGGATGGGGCAGCCCACCAAAGGCTCAGCTGCTCAGATCCAGCAGATTGGGTGGTTCAAGGGATTGAGGCCATGGAGCTTGGATCACAGAAGGATCCAGAACATGGATCAAATAAAAGCAGGACACTACTTATGGAGAGAAAACATATAGAGGGTGTCATAAACTCATAAAATATTTCAATGGTCTTGTTAGAGTTGCCAACAGAAAGGTAGGGGGGAACAGTGCAGCAGCTTGCCAAACCGAAACTGTATTCCATAAATGTTTTTTCAAAGATAGTAACTAGGTGATGGAAGTTTCCGCTGCACAAAATTCTAACTGGAGAGCATGATTGATGACTCTTGGCTATGGACGTGTCCCATTGGAGAATATGAATTACGATACACGTAGGGGGTGGAGGGAAAACCAGGGTCAAGGGTGACCATGAATGATGTGCCTCAGGGTCGGCTACATCCAGACAGTGCCGGCATGTTAACTCCCAATAAATCCTTTGGAAGTTTTGGAAGTTTGGCTCGAGACTCATGATTTAAATGGGGGTAACTGCTGGAATCCTGACAGAGGGGTAACATCAGAAGACAGAGTCTTCTGTACTTTCACATAATCTGGAGAAATTATAACTTTCAGATTAAAATCCATTCGGGGTTTTTTGGGGGGGTGGGGTGGACAGGTGCTGCTTTTACGTGCCTGGAAACAGCTTTCCGCCTCGATGCCCTTCACCGACAGATGAAGCTCCTTGGGGAGGACAATCCTGTCAGCAAACTTCAGGTTAAACTTGAACCAGGTAACAAAGAGGGCTGGGTCTTGTCTTTTATAAAATGAAGATCAGGAGGCTGTGAGTTCAATCCTAGGTAGCGGCAGATATTTGTCTCTCTGGAAACAATGAGTAATTATCGGCTGCGAACTCCTCATTGGTGACAGGAAGGACATCTGGCCAGTAAACACTCAGCTCCACCCAGATTTGAGGGATTACAGGGTCATTAAAAGACAAAGCTTGTGGGATAAACATGGATTGGCTGGGTTCATAAAACCCTCTAAAGCAGGGGGTCCCCAACCTCCAGGCACAAACGCACCTCATCTATTTGGGGGAGTGGCAAATGGAGGCATGTGTGCCTGCCTCTTGCACAAATGGAGCTGTGCGCTCACAATTATCCGCTCTCGCCCCTGCTGCCGCTGGTCTGCAAAGCTGGAAAAGTCGGGGACCCTCTGCAAAGCCCCGATTCTTATTTTGAAGCTGGTTCTTCAGCTCTTTGATCCTCGGCTTTGCATTTGTAGAGCAACACGCACAGTGACGGTTCTAAAAAGTCCATTCCAAAGAAAGTTATATTATGAAGAGGAAGAAAACAATGTCCCCCCACCCCCCATAAAAAATGTTTACAGGCAGTCTTTGACTTACGGCCATTCGTTTAGTGACCATCTGAAAAAAGTGACATATGACCATTTTTCACACTTAAAAATGTTGCAGCATCCCCATGGTGACGAGGTCCCAATTCAGACACTTTGGAAATGACTCACATTGATGACGGTTGCAGTGTCCCAGGGTCACATCATCCCCTTTTGCAACCTTCTGACAAGCAAAGTCAATGGGGAAACCAAGTTCACCTAACAACCATGTTACTAACAACTGTAGTGATTCGCTTAACAATTGTGGCAAGGAGCGTCATAAGATGGGGGCAAAACTCACTTAACAACTGTCTTCCTTAGCAATGGATATTTTGGGCTCAGTTATGGTTATAAGTTGAGGACTACCTGTATTGCCATTTATTTTTCTTATCACTCTTATCTAAAGTTCTTCCTCTCTTCCTTTTTTTGTCCAGGTGTGAATCCCAGCAACCTGATGAACCTCTTCACCTACGAGAAAGGGTTCTGCTTTGTTTACTATCTGTCTCAGCTGTGCGGAGACCCAACACATTTTGATGCCTTTCTCCGAGTTAGTAACCTGGTTTGGGGGCGGGAGGAGGGTATCCACATGGGTGCCCATGGATACCTATTGCACCTTCGACTTTGCCAGTGAATCTCAGTGGAATCCAGTCATTTTCAGTTGAATCCTTCATAAAAACATGACTCCCATCTAAAAACCAAGGGTGGAGTTTAGATCTCAGTCCTTTATTTGAAAGTTGGCTCCTTAGAGGTAGTCCTCGACTTACAGCCACAATAGAGCCCAAAATTTCTGTTGCTAAACGAGACAGTTGTTAATTGAATTCTGCTCCATTTTACGATCTTTCTTGCCACCGTTGTTAGGTTAGTAATTGTTCTGACCCAACCGGGTTCCCAAAGAGCAAATACAGACAAAGGTAGCAGCCCCCACCTTTTAAGGTTCAATAACGAATTCTGTTCCTTTACAGATAAAAGGCTGCTTTCCACTAATTAGTTCCGACAAGAAAGAGCCTTGCCAAATTGTTTGTCAATGATGCCAAAGACCCAGAGATAAGAATTTACAAGATTCTCCAAACACGAACTAAGAAGTCCACAAGTTGAGCTTCAGAGCTTCTTTGCTGTCTGCAAACCTTTTCCAAACCTGGCTTTTGTCCTCTTGAGGGAGGGGACATTACCTTGCAGCCTTACTCCTGAGTCGCCTATGCTGCTGTAATTGTTCTTTCCTCCAAGCAATCCTTTGTGCACGTGCACTTGGCACAGGCTCCTCGGGAACCTCCTCATCACTGCTGCCAGCCCCCACAATCTGAAGGCAGCAGTCCACTCCCTGATGGTCCTGGCCCCTCATTAGAGTCCTCGCTCTCCTCAGCCATCTGCACCTGCTGCTGGCTAACCGCAACAGTGACACGGTTTTAAGTGAATCTGGCTTCTCCATTTACTTTGTAGCATGCCAGAAACTGGGCACACGAAACCACATCCCCTCTGCAGAAAAAACCCTCTCCACGGAACTGGTCCCTGGTGCCTGAAAGGTTTGGGGGGAATAGAATAGAACAGAACAGAACAGAACAGAACAGGAATGTTTTTATTGGCCAAGTGTGATTGGACACACAAGGAATTTGTCTTTAATGCATATGCTCTCAGTGTACATAAAAGAAAAGATATATCCGCCAAGAATCATAAGGTACGCCACTTAATGATAGTCACAGGGTACAGTAAGCAATCGGATCATACTAGGAAACAGTTAATATAAATCGTAAGGATACAAACGACAAAGTTACAGTCATACAGCCACAAGTGGGAGGGGATGGGTGATAAGGAGTGATGAGAAGATTAATAGTAATGCAGACTTAGTAAATAGTTGAACAGTGTTGAGGAAATTATTTGTTTAGCAGAGTGATGGCATTCGGGGAAAAACTCCTTGTGTCTAGTTGTTCTGGTGTGCAGTGCTCTGTAGCCTCGTTTTGAGGGAAGGAGTTGAAACCGTTTATGTCTGGGATGTGAGGGGTCTGTAAATATTTTCACAGCCCTCTTTTTGACTCGTGCAGTATATCCCTACACACATTTTGCTAAAAGCTCTGGAGCATTATTGATTTTATTTCAGAATTCAGTCTCAGTCTCCTAAATTACTGTGCTGTCATAAAGGACTGGAGCCCTCTGTAATTTAAAGAAAAATATTGTATATGAATGACCTCTAGAAATTTTCCATCCGTGGGGATTTATGTGTCAGACCATTAGAAATGCAGCACATTTCTTTATTTCTTTGATTTGTTTAAATCTTGATCATTTTCTGCTCTTCCCTTAGAGAATCTCCTTCAATTGTAATATTTTACTTTGTTCTCTAGTGTGTTTGTCTTCATCTCTGTTGCTTTTCTGGCCATTTCCACTCCGGGCCCCTCCAGTTTCCTCTCGCTCAACCTAGCCTGTTTCCATTAATTTTATAACCCATATTTATGCTGGCTCTCTTTCAGACTTATATCGAGAAGTACAAGTTCACAAGTGTTGTAGCCCAAGATCTGTTGGATTCCTTCTTGGCATTTTTTCCAGACCTGAAAGAACAATGCATCGATTGCAAAACAGGTAGGGAAGAGGATCTTGAATGTAACACACACACACACACACACACACACACAGAGTCTTAGGAGTGCTGCCCAGATGAAGGAGACCAACTACAGGTAGTCCTCAGATTATGAGCCCCAAATTTCTGTTGTTAAGCGAGACAGTTGTTAAATGGGTTTTGCCCCATTGTACGACCTTTCACGCCACAGTTGTGAAGTGAATCGTTGCAGTTGTTAAGTGAGCAACCCGGTTGTTAAGTGAATCTAGCTTCCCCATTGTCAGAAGATTGCAAAAAGTGATCACATGACCCTGGGACACTGCAACCATACTCATAAATAGGAACAAGTTCCTAGGCATCTGAATGTTGGCCACATGACCATGGGTATGCTATGATTGTTAAATAAACCTGGCTTCCCCCATTGAGTTCGTTCGCGAGAAGGTCGCAAAAGGCGATCACACGACCTTGGAACACAGCGACGCCATAAGTAGGAACCAGTTGCCAAGCATCTGAATTTTGATCACATGACCATGGGTATACTGTAAAGGTCGTAACTGAAAACCAGTCAAATAAGTCACTTTTTCAGTGCCATTGTAACTTTGAACGGTCACTAAATGAACTGTTGTAAATCGAGGACACCCTGCACACAGGCTTGACATATACCTAACTAGCCAAGCTGCAAAACGCTAAGCCCACATCAGCACGTTGACTGCGTTCTACAAATGTTAAGTAGATCAGGGGTCTCCAAACTTGGCAACTTTTTAAGACTTGTGGGCTTCAACTCCCTGAATTCTTACTCCCACAAGTCTTAAAAGTTGCCAAGGTTGGAGACCCCTGAACTAGATGATCTGTTGGGAGAAAGCTTTCTGTTTGAGCCTGACTGAGAGATCGCAGTCAGTCTGCACACCTGGGGCGCGTTTCAAAGTTGATCCTTGTCGCCAAATCTGTTGCAGGGCTAGAATTTGACCGCTGGCTCAATGCCACAGGGCCTCCTTTAGTTGAACCAGACTTATCTCAGGGATCCATCTTGACCCAGCCGGTGGAGACGCTATTCCATCTCTGGACCACAGAACCTCTGGACGCAGGAGCGGCTGCGAACAGCGTCAACATCGCTGAGTGGCAAACATTCCAAACGGTGCTTTTCCTGGATAGGTTACTGGATGGGTCGCCCTTGCCACACGGTGAGTTTAATTACCTAGTAGGGCAGTGGTGGCAAACCTTTTTCGGATCCCGTGTTAATAATGGCGTGCACGCTTGTGAGCTCAAGCTTGCGTGCCAGCACCTAGAAGGCAATGCATGCTGGGGGCCCCCATAGCCCCTGCACATGTGCATGCGATCTCCCTGCTGTGTGCTGCGCGTCTGCGCATGATTCCTCCTGCCATGCGCCATGCATCTGCACATGTGTGTGCAATCACCGCATGGCATGCGTCTGCATGCACACGATTTCCCCACCACGTGCCTGCGCACACGATCACACCCACGCGCCGTGCGTCTGCGCATGCATGCGTGATCACCCTGTGTGCCATCCATATGCACATGCATGCGCAAACCCCCATGCGCATGACCCCCCACGTGCACTGCATATCTGCATATGCATGTGTTTTCCGTGCCCCCCCTTGCGCACGCGCACCAGATACCCAACAATCAGCTGTCGGGCTTCGGTGGCGCACACGCATGTGCAGTGGGGCTCTTCTGGCCAAGCTCTTGCGTGCCGGCAGAAGTGGCTCAGCGTGCTATAGGTTTGCCAACACGGTAGTAGGGTAATGAAACATCTGCAAGAAAACAACCAAGCTCAGAGAGCACCAAGGACCCCACAATTTCAACTCTTGAACTACATAAATTTTCTTTTTATAAGTTATTTCTGGCTGTCCAGTGAGGTTAGTCGCAGGGTCGTCAGAAAGTGTTATTTCACTGAGCTGGTGCCTGTCCTCTGGAATGAGATCCATATTGTTTCCACCTTAATGACTTTCCAGAAATTTTTAATCGGCACACGCACACGTGCACCATCCAGAGTCGTTGAAGAGTTGGATGGCCTCCAAATTGAATCAAAAGCAAACGAGATAAATGTTGTCTTCCCCAGAGGTGGTAACGAAGTTGTCCGAATGCTACTCGGCCCAGCTGGAAAACATGAATGCCGAGATTCGTATCCGCTGGCTGCAGATCATTGTCCGCAACGATTACTATCCTGACATTCACAAAGTCCGTCGCTTCTTGGAAAACCAGGTACCAGTTGCTGGGTTGAAAAGCTTGGCGCTGCTCAGGGTGTGAGATTTAGGGCGGGAAACCAGTTGATGCACAAAGACATAGGAAGCTCTGATGCTTGGATGTAGGAATAGATGTTTGTCAGGGAATTGCGAAGACGGGGTCCAAATGGAGTTAGAGACACTGACAACAACCAATGTTATATAAATAAATATATCATTTGTGTGTGTGTGTGTAGATGATAGATAGATAGGTAGGTAGGTAGGTAGGTAGGTAGATAGATAGATAGATAGATAGATAGATAGATAGATAGATAGATAG